ATATGTGTGTGTGTGTTGTGTTTGTGTGTGTATCTGATGATTTGCATATATACATCCAAATATATAGTTTGTTGTTGAGTATATATTTATATATAATGTGCAATTATTATTGAATATATATATATATATATATATATATATATATATATATATATATATATATATATATTCAAATGTGTTGTTGGATACATTTATATATATATATCGTTGTAGGATATAAATATATATGTTGTTGGATATACATATATATATGTGTGTGTGTCTTGTTAAATGTGTGTATATATATATATATATATGTTTTGTTTAGTGTTATATATATATATATATATATATATATGTGTGTATGTATATAATGTGTTGTTGAGTATATATAGATATATATCTTTGCTGTTGAGTGTGTATATATATATATATATATATATATATATGTGTGTATATATATATATATATGATATGAGATATATATGTGTGTGTTGAGTGTGTATATGTATATGAGTCTGTATATCTCTTGTTACATATATATATATATATATATAAAATTGTTGTTCCGTATATATTTATACATAGTATATGTTGTTGAGTGTGTCTATATATAATGTGTGTGATATGTATGTATATAATGTGTTGTTGAGTATATATTGATATGTGTTGTTGAGTGATACATACATATGTTTGTATATCTGTTCTAGTGTATATATATCTATATATAGTGTGTTGTTGAGTATATATTTATATATGATGAGTAATTGTTATTGAATATATATATATATATATATATATATATATATATATATATATTATATTATTTATATATATATATATATATATATAAATGTGTTGAGTGTATGCATATATATATATATATGTAATTGTGTGTGTATATATATATATATATATATATATATATGTGTGTTGAGTGTGTGTGTGTATATATATATATATCCATGTTTTTTATATATATATATATATATATATATAATATTATTAAAATATTTTATATATAGTCTTGAATTTATACATGTGTGTTCTTGAATGTATAAATATGTGTTTGTGTTCTGTGTATAAATATAAATATTTATGCATTGTTGAGTATATATAGTTTGTTGTTGAATTTTTTATATATATATATATAAAATTTGTTGTTGAGTAAATGTATGTGTCTATGTTGAGTATATGTTATATATATATATATATATATATATATATATATATATTTATGTTTGTTGTTGGGGTGTGTTTTTATATATATATATACGTATGTGTGTGTTGTTGACCATATCTGTATTTGTGTTGTTGAGTGTGTGTGCATATATAGATATATATGTACTATTGAGTGTGTATTGGTGTGTGTGTGTATATATATATATATATATATATATATATATATATATAAAATTAAATTTAAATATTTGTTAGCAAAGGGATTTTGCCATTTTATATCATTAACTTTACTAATCTACTTTTTGTATGAATGATACATTGTAATATATATATATATATATGTGTGTGTGTGTGTGTGTGTGTATGTATGTGACTATCAACAAACAAATTATTTATTATTCTGAATATTTAGATCTAGTACAAAAAGGAATATAAAACTCAATTTTCAGAACAAGAGGTTAAATACAACAAATTTCACAACCGAATTATGCAAAATAGGAAAAGACAAAATTATTCATAGAGTAGAAAATGTAGTTTTAATTTGTTTGAATCATGTAAGTATAAGCAATTATTTTATCAGTGAAGCCTTCTAGACTATTTATTCAGGAGAATATTTGTGATAATTCCAGCAAAGAATATCATGTGGTACATAGTCTCACCATTGTTATTTTTACGTTAACAACACAATGGGGAAGATTTGCTTCCTCATTAAGTGAATGAATATCAATTCTCTTAAAAACTCAATAATGTGTGGCCAGTTTATGTAGTTACCTTTTCATTTACCAATTCAGAAGAATGAATGAGTCATTCAGTAAATATTGGTCAATCTCTTAGCATAATCTGGTCTAGTTGAAATGTCCTGCAAAGCAATATCTGGACTTTCTTGTTTCATTGTTCACAGATCATGTCTGTCATGTCCAGGGAGGAGTGTGTTAGAGCAAATACACTTCCTTCTTTTAGTTCTATGATGTTTTGGAAAAAACTTCTGAGATGTTGCTAGAACTATCCAAATAGCATTTCTTGGCACATTGCTATAGGCATTTTCTGTGTTGTTAAAATCTGCATAGTGACTCAGACAGGATCTTTTCTATAACAAGTTGGAAGGAACCAAGCAGGACTCTAACATGACACAATGCAGATTCTACAGATGCTACAATATCCTTTCTTAAAAAAGGTAATGATTATGACATTTTTTTTTAGATCTCTTTGTACTGTGGGTTTGCAATAATTGACTGATGAGAGTGAAAAGCTTTCTTTTTGAATGCTTACCAGAACAATCTTGTCCAGTGAGGTTCGTTTCTTTGATTTTATTCTGTTGATGGCTTTGCAGATTAAACCAAGATGTTGCAAGAATTAATGTCCAAAGAGTTGTCCATGTTTCATTATGTTTAAGATAAAACAGTCTTCAGTAGTAGAGGAATTCCTGTTTAAGAATGTTCTGAAATGTTCTTTCTCACATGCCAAGATGTTCTGGCTGTTCAAGAGGATACTGGCTTTGTCAGCTGTTTTTAGTGTTCTTGTTAAAAAGCTTTGTCTTGTATAGCAGACATCTGCATGCATTTGAAGTTCTTTGGCTTTTTCCTATTATCAATTGTTCTGGAACTTTTTGATTTGAGATTTTTGCATTGAATGTTAGTTTGTTCAAGGGACATAGCGAGGCTTCCTATTTAGCTTCTTTTTTTTTTAACTAATGTTCACCCAATACAAGGCCTAAGGGCCACTCAAAGTAGATAATTACTTTGTGAAGTCTCTTATTGGTACCTTGGAGACTATCATGTTTGGTAGAGTTGGTCCTTTACATTCTCATAAGCATTTATTGGGCATCATGAAACTTTAGTATCCAAAATTTAATTTCAAAAATAAAGATTGTTTCTGTCTGCATCTCATTATTTACATTCAGACTATTGTCCTCATCTTTGTTGTTGTTATCACATCTCAGCTGTTGTGCCCTCCAGACTTCATCACATGTATATTAAACCAGGTAACCTACAGGGAATTCTGAACTGAACCCTTTATTTAATCGATGGGAATAGACTGTTCTTGTTCAACTGGCCATGGGATATCTTGCTTAGTTCTTATTGCTCACCCTGTTTCCACTGATTACACACTGCCCAACCCAGGGATTGAACTCACAATTACCATGTCACCAAATTCACAAGCCAACATTTTAAGCCACTCATTGGAAATAGGTTGAGCAATAACTGAGTAACAACAAAGATGAGAACAATGAATGTAAATAATAAAAAACAGTGTCTGAAATAAAATATTTAGATCTTATTCAGGGATAGATTCATAATTTATCAATATTAAAGACATGATTTACCTTTACAACAGTCAAACGAAAGAATCAGATTAGACATCTGGGCTGGAACTGCAAATAAAATCCAAGATCGTTTACACAATCCTGTACACGACTTATTTTTCCACTCTACAACCTCTTTTCCCATAAACGCAAAGCATACCATCACTATTTCTATGGCAAATGTTCAGATGAGTCTTTCATTCCACTAATTCAAGCCTTTACAGCTAGGATTTGCCATGTTACATCCACAGAGTCAAATGAACCCACATTTTCTCTATATTCCATTTGTAAGGAAGAAGGTTTCACTCCGTTTTTCCCTGAAAAATGCTACTTTATAGAAAAACTCCTGTGTGGATGCATCCCTGAACACTATAAGCTTATCTTCAAATCAAGAATCAATGACTATCTATCCTCCTTATCCTCACTGCCTTTGACTTTCTCTTACATTCATATCACACACCTCATTCAGTAACCCTCTAACATGCAGTGTCATCCTGGCAACATGGGGCTGAGCATTGTCATGAAGCAGAATTGGAACTCATTGATTAATCATTGCCAGTTGCATTTTGCTTAACTGAAAGTGCACTTCATCCACTTGCTGGCAGTAAATTTTGGCAGTGATTTTCTGGTTCAATAACCAGAAAGCTGTAATGAATGGACCACCAGACAGGCACCATAATCTTCTGTTGGTACAATTTCGGTTTTGGAAAGTGTTTGGGTGCTTCATCATGATCAATCCATTGAACTGATCACTTACGATTATCATTAAGGATCTACTGCTAATCACAAATCACTATTCGATCAAATGTGTCAGTCAAATTTCGCAGATGCAGCATCGAAAACACTTCAAAACATCAAATACTTTGATCTTTACTGAGTTTGTGTGGAATCCATTTATCCAGTTTCTTCGCCTTGCCAATTGTCTTGAGATGCTCCGATATTGTTGAAATGCTGACACCCATTATCTGAGACATTTCTCTGACACTTTTTCATGGGTTTTGCTTGATTAGTGTTTCAGATGTTGATTGTCACTTGCAGATGGATGTACAACTTGATCCTCAAAAATTATATCCAAACTGCAGAACTTCAGAAACAAATGCCATACTGTCCGATCACAGGTGGATCATCCACCCCATGCTCTGTTAATATTGGCAGCAGTTTGAAAAGCATTATGACCAAACATTGAACTCATACAAAATAAGTAAATGCATCTCTTCCTTTTTCATGTTCAAGATGAGGAGTATATAATGTTTCAATTTAATTTCTGAAAGAGATTGGTACAAAATTAATAAAGAGGACACTTTACTTATTAAGAATAAGTAATATATGTCATCATTCCTTTCATTCCAATTCCATATGATAGTTTTGTCTTGGAAAGTTTTATCTTGAGTTCTAATTCTTAGAACATTTGGTAGAGGATGTTAATTTGTTTTTTGTTTTTTTATTCAAAGTCATTGTTATCCCAACTACTAATACCTATATCATCATCAGTACACTGGCCTCAGGAGGGAAAACATGAATGCTGGTGCCTTACAGCCTACGGCCATGTCACGCTGAAACACTGGTTCTCATATGATCACCAAAGTTAAGCAATGTTGAACCTGGTCAGTATCTAGGTGGGTGACTGCTTAGGAATTCCAGGTGCTGTAAGCTTGGATGTGTGGGTGGTGTAATGGATAATGGCTCCAAATTGGAAATCGAAGAGCTGTGTTCCAATTCCAGTCACGTTCATTATATTCACTTACACATAAATACCCTTGCAAAAGGTATGAATCCACCTCTTCTGCCTCCATCTATGGGTTAATTAGTAGAATATTAAAATCATGATTATCTCAAAAAAAATTCTTGCAATCTAAAAATATTTTCTGAAAAGTGGTTGATAAACCATAACAAAACAAATCAAAGAAACACTGATTTCTATTAGTAGATTCATTTGGGATGTGGTCTGTAATGCTGAAATGGTCTATGCCCATCTTTTCACATCTGTGCTTGTATATGCACTGAGCATAGTCAAGGAAATAGATTTGGGCTCTCATTTCCTTGTACTCATGATGAGGTTTAAAATTATTCAGCATTTAGGTCTTCACCAGATTTATATATGACTTTGTGGGTCAATATAGTTAGTTCTGATGTTGGACATGTGGGTCTGAGATTCAGATGAATAAAAAGAGGAGAAAGGACCAGGGAATGAGAAGAAAACAGTACTTTTAAACTGGAGTTACCTTTCGTTCATCTACTGCTGTTATAGCCCTTGGAATTATGACCACAGACTCATGATCTGAACCTCCCCATTACTATTTTCCACAGGTTTTGGGTGAGACAATCCCCACCCTAGCACAGCCTATTCTATGTTCCATTTACTATACTAAATTTGTTATAACTGATCCATACACAGATGTATTTGAAGTGTTTAGTATTTTCTAATTCCACATTCTGGATTTTTAAGATGGATTCAGGGTGAGTGCTATCATTGCTTTCATTCCAATTTCTAGATCATAGTTTCTGTTTTGGAATGGTCTATCATGAGTCCTATTTCTTGGAACACATGGTAGGGAATGCTGATTTTTGATTTAAAATTTTTTTTTTTTTAATCATTTTTATTCAGGGCTGGATTTAGGCTTTCAAAGGTCCCCAGGTTAATACAATTTGCCTCACCCCCCCAATTACCTATTATGGAGGCTTGTTGTCAAAGCAGGCATTTAGACAGGTGAAAAGAGGAGAAAGGACCAGTGAGTGAGAAGAAAATAATGCTCTTAAACTGGAGTTACCTTTCGTTCATCTACAGCTGTTATGGAAGAAGTTGCCCATTTGATATAGGCCTCTTCAGCCGTCAGCAGTCTTGCAATGTATCTCTTATGCCTTTCTAAATGTTTGTTCACAAACCTAAGCCATGATCATCCTGATGTATATTCACATCATTCTCAGAACATTTATGACAAGAAGTAATATTTTGCTTTTATATATATATATATATATATATATATATATATATATATATATATATATATATATAATGGACTCTCCTGTCGGTTTCGCATATGAGGATCTCGATAATCTTAAGTGGCATTTAAGAACCGCTAGTGATTTACAAAGGAGGCCACATATGGAGCAAATGTGAGGATTGTGAGATGAAATCACTTTTAGATTGGCTGACCTTTTAGATCTTGCTCTCACTTCTTGAAGATGATTCAGACAAGCAGATTGAAAATTGCTGAGTCCACTAAAACACATTGATCTCCATTTTATATATATATATCAAATATGTTCAATTTATATTACATGTTTTTTGTATGAATGATTCATGTAATATATATATATATATATTGGTACAAACATTATTTTTAGTGGGTACACATATTTGAATTGATATCCCATTTTTTTTTTTTATTTCTTAAATAGTGAAATAAATAACAACCAGCCTAGATTGAGAAAAGGGGATACATGTTTGATTCCTGTCAGAGGCACACTTTTCAGTCTCGGCCAATCATTAAATTCAGTGTTTAAGAAAATAAAAAAAAAAACATATAGTAATTCAAATACATGTGCCCACTAAAAGTAACATTTATAGTAATAAAGAAATAATGTCAGTTAAAAGAATCTACTCTGTGTGTGTGTGTGTGTATATATAAAAATAATGTAGTCCCCCCCCTCCAAAAGTATTGGAACAGCAAAGCCAATTCCTTTGTTTTTGTTGCTCACTGATGATATTTGGGTTTAATATTACAAGACGAATATGAGAAGAGTTCTGAATTTCAGCTTTCATTTCCTTGTGTTTACATTTAACATCTTAGGACATACCCCCATTTGTATCAGATTACACCCATTTTTAGGTGAACAAAAGTAAAGGAATAAATAGTCTTAAAGTAAATAACATTTACTATTTGGTTGCATAACCCTTGTTTGCAATCACTACATCAAGCCTGCAACCCATTGATGTCACCAAACTATTTCATTCTTAAATTTTGATCTTACTTTTGTCTCATATTCATCTTGTGATCTTAAACTCAAATGTCTTCAGTGAACAACAAAAACAAAGGAATTGGCCTTGCCATTCCAATGCTTTTAGACGGGGCTATATATATATATATATATATATATATATATATATATATATATATATATATATATATATATATATATATGGAAATCTTTTTAAAAATAAAATAACCAATTGGTTTTAGGTACTTTTACTTGTATATAATTATTGTCTTGTGACTCTAAAAGATCACTCAAAAAGTAACACTATCACTTTTTTTATTTTTGGTGAATCAACAGGAATGACAAAAATTACTTCTAAATGTTAATGTAAGAACTATTATGGGATAGCAGTAGTATTTTTTTATTACTGTCCCAAAATATTTGTTACATTTGCATACCCATTTCATAGATTAAATATACATCTATTATGGGACAGAGGTAGTAAAATTTTACTCTCACTGTCCCAAAATATTTGTTACATTTGCATACTTATTTCATACATGAAATGTACATCTATTATGAGACAGAGGTAGTACTATTTTACTATCACTGTCCCAGAATAGTTGCTATACTTGCATAGACATTTCATATACTAAATGTACAACAATTATGGGACAAATGTAGTATATGCTCAGGAATCAATTTCACATTTTTCTGCAATAAATTCCTTGCAAAATATTCTACTATTTCCTATTTAAAAATGAATTTGTATGCCAACTCCTCGCTAGAAGTGTAAAATTTACCAAGAAAATATGTCTAATGGGTTCAGTGTAGAATTGACAGACTATTTTATCTTGTGTCTTTTCATCAAGACATTTGAATAAGTATTTTTGGTAAAAACTTCTAGTTGACATCGCAAGACAAATACACATGCAATTATTTTAGCTGGTGCATATTTATTTTTATCCACTATTTTAGGCCAAACTTTCATTTTAAAATACTTGTTAGCCGTTTCAAGCCATTCCTTATCGAACTGATCAATCACTAATTCTTCCAATTGGAGTAGATAGGTTTGCCTATGGCCTGGTAAAGTCTTTTGAACAGGAGTAAACATTCATCCCTTGTTTACTGTTTAGGATTGGGTTTCCAGTCCCTTTTAAAGTCTACTTCAACTCTATACTCCTAATCTCTCTTTGTGACCTCTTCAATAGATGCGCTGTCTATCTTTCCTGTTATCCCTCCTTTCTTACACGAATACGACTCCATTCTATCTTGAGTGGCTCTTGGGTCTTGTATTGGGTGAACATTACAAAAAAAAAAAAATCACAATTTCACTTTATTGATCAATGTTCTAAACTTGTTAAAATATTATCTGATTTACCTTGAACTCCCAGGATCTACTAGAGAGGTGTGTATAAAGTATTATTTCATCACAAAAGAAACTGTCATTAATTTTTCTAACATTGGTATGGTATATAAAAATTTATATACTGTACATATCATTCCCCCCGCCCCCTCAAACACACACACACACATATATAAGTGGGCACTGTTTTATGCTTGGACATAATCTTCAGGCTATGTGTTGGCTTGATTATTTACATATGCTGGTCAATGGTGCATTATATATAGCAAGGTCCATGATATTATCCTGACTGTTATATATATATATATATATATATATATATATATATATGCACATAGTATAGGTTTTCAAAATGTTGCAATAGGAAATCTTACATATTTGTCAACATAGGAATCGGGGTGGATGTATGCAGATTTAATATTGCAATTTATTTTTATCAAGGGTTTAGAGAATTTTAAAAAAGATAAAAGATGTCTGGAAAGAGCTTTTTGGAATTTTAATATCCAAACTACATTGATTAATCATCCCTTTAAAGAGGCTAATAGCAAATATATATATATATATATATATATATATATATATATATATATATATATATATATATATATAGGCACGGTGGAGTAGTGGATAGCAGCTCAGATTGAGGAATCGGATAGCCGAGTTTGAATTCGATTAAATCCAAAAACTGTGAAGGGTTGTTTCAGGACATTGTAGCATGTAGTGCACCAGGTTTCTGCATTCAGCCCTTCAAAAAGTGTGGTTGGTTCTGCACAAAGCTATATGTCTAGCTGTCAGTTCCTAGGAACTGAGCTGCTTGATCCTCAAATGTCGAATAGTGGAATAATGGATAGCGGCTTGGATTGAGGAATCGGAGAGCCGAGTTCGAATTCCAGTCGAATCCGTTACATTCACTTACATGCTAATACCCTTGGAAAAGGTGTGAATCCTCTTCTTCTCCCTCCAGCTATGGGTAAATAACAGGACAGACTGGGTTCTATAGCCCTGGATGGCAACTGGTCTAAGAGAAGGAAAACTCTGAATTCAAAACCTGCGGATGGTTGTTTGGAGACCTTGTGGCACATAGTGCACCAGGTCCCTGTAATCGGCCCTTCAAAAAGTGTGGATGGTCCTGCACGAAACCTTCAGCACTATAATCAAATCTCATGTGCTATACATGCGGGTTGGGGACCGCTTGTGAATTCCAAATTCCCATGAAACTCCAATATTGGAGCTGGCTCAACCAACCTTGGGTGAATGCCATTACAGGGTACAGGTAGGAATACGATGTGAGAGTCCACTGTATATATATATATATATATATATATATATATGAAAGATATAATAGACTTAAATAGAGTAAATTTTTA